TTATTTATTTACAGTACTCCTTCGCCATGGCTCTGAATAACTCAGTTGCTGATCTCATCTAAGTAAACATTGCTGATCACTCATTGCTACCCAGAGGCAATTCCGTCGCCGATGACTTTCCAGTATTAGATCTTCTCCACACTCTTATGAATCTTTGCGAATTAACCTATCCGATGACAAATTGCTGTAAGAATGGAAATATTTGGGCAAACTTGCGCTGTTTTCTTATGAATAGTCGAAGTGTCTATTGTTTTTAACGCTTTTTCCGCCAAGTACTGTAATTTGTCGTTTTGTCCCTGATTTAGTGTGCGGAGCTTTGCCTGATGAGTCCAGAAGACCTAGATCCCCAACTGCCTGACCTCTGCATACTCTACAAACTGTATCTAGAGGCGGGGAAACTGATTAACCTGTACGACTGGCTAGTGGTAAGTTATAAGCAAAATTACCTAAATGTTCTTGTCCACGTTAGCATGAAAGTTATCTTCTGACGATCTCTGTCACAAAATCATTGCTAATCAGTTAATATTTGTGACGTTATGTAAGTAGTGTGCCAGTGCGACCCCGAAGGAGCCCAGCTTCCACCATCGTTCACATTCGTGCAAACGAAAACCGCGACACGTTGCGCCATCTAAAAAGTGATGTATTACCGAGGAGACGAGGTCTTCGGCAGTACTCAGGTGACGGTTTTTGCCGCATATACCAGTTTTATGCTCTACCGATACCCGCCTCGTCGTTTTGGCCATCGTGTCAGTGCTGATAGGGATGTCATGTCCGGTATCATGGACAAAAATGTGCGCCAAAGCTCTGCTAGTTTGAGGCAGGTAGTGGAAACGGCTTAAGCATTAACGTTAATTACTCTAGCATTGACTTTACATCGGTTAGATGCAGAGTTTAGGATACTGCTGACCCAAACACCAGAGGATTCCCGCTTATTCTACACATTCGGGGCTCAAACACTAATTTTCCTCATGTTCATTTGAAGGATGGATGTCCGATTCATAATAAAGGTTCTATCGATGTCGTATACACATGTCCTCCGCAGCGTAGGAAGTAGGAACATCAAGGTCACCGATAGTGTTTTTCATGACTATATGCACATACCAGCGGAAAGGGAATCGACAACTCTGTCAATCACAGAGGAATCTCGCCACTCAGTATCGCCTGGAAGATCATCCCTCGCATCCTCCTAAACCGCCTCAACGGTCATCTAGAACAAGGACTCCTGTCGGAAAGTCAGTGTGGATTCCGGCGACACCACGCAAACATCGACATGATTTTTTCCGCTCGCCAGCTTTAGGAGATGCAAACCCATCTCTTCAACGCCATCGTGGACTTCACGAAGGCCTTACGGTGACTTACGAGGGATTTTAAAAAATCACGCAGAAACTCGCTGTCCTGAGCGCTTTGCGCACACGGTACGTCAGTTCCACGATGGTACTCATGGCGCGCGTCACGGACAACGGCGCAATCTCAAAGGCATTCACAGTGACCAATAAAGTGAAATAGGACTGCATCCTCTCGCCCACCCTCTTCAGCCTCATGTTCTTTGCTATGCTAATGGACGCATATCGCGATGAGCGCCCTGAGATACGCATCACCTATAGAATTGACGGACATCTTAGCAGCAGGCGCATGCAAGCCCTAACGCAGCTATCTACAACTACGGTCCACGATCCGTTCTTCGTCGACGACAGTGCATTTAACACTGCGGCCGAAGAAGACATGCAATTGAGCACGGATATCTTCACCTCCGACTGTGTTCACTTCGGACTGGCCATTGATACGGACGAAACGGTGGTCATGCATCAACCGCTACCGAACGTTGAACACAGCCCTCCGCAAATCGCTGTCAACGACAACCAACTGTCAGACCGTGGATAACTGCCTATCTAGGAAGCACCTCGCAAGCACAAAAATCGACAACGAGCTTTCCCGCCGGCTCTCCAAAGCCGGCCAGTCCTTCGGCCGGCTGCAGAACTCCCTGTGGAAGCTCAGCCACTTTTATTTCAAGTGTCTTCGAAGAAAACTAAGGCTAAGATGGCAGGACAGGATCCCGGACACGGAAGTTCTAGAACGGACCGGAATCCTCAGCATCCACGCCATGTTGAGACAAATGCAACTGCGATTGGGCGGTCAACTGGTGAGGACGGACGATGCTCGCCTACCAAAACAATTTTTCTATGGTGATGTCACCACGGATGCTCGCCGACCGGGAGGACCAAAGTGACGCTACAAGGACATTTTGGAGAATTCTCTTAAGCGTTTGCGTATCAACCCAGAGACATGGGAGGACCCCGCTCAAAACAGACCGGCCTGGAGAAGAGAAGGCTGTCGCAGCCATCTGCGAGGCAAACCGTATAGCCTTCGCCAAAGAAGAAAGGGCTGCCTGCAGGTCTCAGGCGCCTCCGAGTCTCAACACCGCCATTCAACCCACCCAACGTGTCCACGCTCACGTCGAGCTTTTCGCGCGCGGATCGGCCTCGTCGGTCATCTTCGGACCCAGTGCACCGACCGCTCGACGACCGAAATTCCTGCCTCCACGACTGAGCGTTTTCCAACGTCCACGTCGGCGTCCACCCTCACCAACATTGGCTTGAATCTCATCTCCGTGCCGCACTGCCGTCGACGACTATCATCTCCCATTACCTCTGCCACAATTACCGCGACGACGACGATGACCACAACCACCTCTACCACCGCCACCGCCACCACCAACGACCAAAACGTTCTTGACGCCTTGGCAACCACCGATACCTTAACCATCACCAACCTCACCTCCAACGATGTGGGCTCGCTCCTAACTTGTCCTCATTGCAACCAATCATTCACTTTGCACATCGGCCTGTCCGGTCACTTGCGAATCCATCGCACAAAGGCTGGCGAACCAGTGCCTGGGGCACCAACATACACTCGCCTCATCCGGCCTCATTGTCCACGCATATTCATTCACTGTGCGAGCCTAGTCCGTCACATGCGTGTCTGTGACAACGAAATACACCGCAGCATCGATTCACTTAACACATTTTGGACATTCAACATCCCCAGTTCACTCATTTCTCCACTGTCCTGCGCGTCCACTTCTAACAGCGGCACCAAAATCGACCCTGCAGCTCTCCACCTATCTTGCCCACACTGTCGCCTCACATTCACCTCATACATCGGTGTGGTTAGTCATTTGCGAATCCATCGCACGAAGACAGGCGAAGCAGTGTCTACAGCACCAATACATACTCGCCGCATCCTCCTCAATTGTCCTCAATGCACCTGTGTATTCACTCATCACATGGGGCTATTAGGCCACATGCGTATTCAAGAAAACCTGCGGCAGACTACTGATATCTTACTGGAACTCTAGGTAATCACTCGTCTAGATTTTTATGGGACATCCCTAGAGGAGATTAGACGTGCCGGAAAGATTTTTTGCTATAGACAGTAAAATGGTCATAACAGTGGCCTGCTACGCTTGCCCAATGGTGTATCAGCGCGAATTCAAAGTCAGCTGTCCAACTCCGCTCTACAGAAAAAGAGTCTTGGCAACGGATTTTTTTCATGAATAGATGACCATTACCTACAGCTTAGATTCTAACGATACCGAACAAGTTTCAAAGGCATCGTATATTACCCTTAAGTATACTGAAGAAGGATCGATTGCACACATAGGCCTAAAGAATAATTTGGAGGTTTACTTATATGGCATGCGGAAATTAAAAGACGAATAGCAGATTCTGACCTGAGGAGAATGAATTGCTCACCGGATCGGGGGACTTTTCTGGCTGACGTTTCGAAGAGCTGGGGCTGCTCTCCATTGTCAAAGCGTCAAGTGAAAAAATCGATCAGCATTTTTGAATAGACTGCCGCATTAGTTGGCCCTGGGCTGATCGATTTTTTTCTTTTTTCTCTGCCTTGGCCTACTGGCCGTCGCCTGTGAATGTTGGTGGCCTCCTGTAATACGTGTCGTCACCTCAATTGGGGTTGGTTGCGTTTGCGTTCCCCTTTTGGGTGAAGTGGTCGACAGGCCGTGTTTGCTCGGCATTCTTAGGCTCCGTGTGATTGTCTTGTCTTTGTCACGGTGTATGAAGTGACGTAGGACTTTATAGGCCGAAGGAAGATCTAGATGCCTGTTTATGGAGTTGGCATCTGAGTACCAAGCCTCAAGTGTGAGACGCTCAGTCCTTGAGGTGCCCCTGCCTAAGACGGCTGCTCCTTGAAAATCAAAACTGTGACCAGTTTCCCCGATGTGAGCCGCAAGCTGTGAGTT